ATGTAACCAAAAATACATACATACAACAGGCCGAGAAAGACCGTTTGGTAGACAGCCATGGCAATGGAGTATTCAAAACACACAACCGGATCTCTCACAGTAATAAAAGACTCGGGTAGGGGTTGGCGCTTAGGAGATGACTCTGTAAAGCAAAAATTGTTGGTTGTAGAAATGAAAAATTACAGGCAGCCGGTGAGTTGGTACCACGCCAATACAAAGAAAATGCGGAAAGGCGAGAGTGCAGTGTAGGATAAGGAATACACGAACTCATCATAGGAACTCAAGAGACGTGATGAGCAAAGGCCAGCCTAGCCTAGCGAATGACTAAGGCAAAATCAAAGGAGAGGGTAAGGGTAACCGGGATTGAACTGCCGGATGAGGATGCAAAGTGAGTCACAGGGAGACTGGCCAATCAATCAGGAAGGCGTCGAGGGCAGGGCAATCGGCAGATGTGGTTGGTTCGTGGAGGGAAGATCGCCGAGGTTGACCTCCGACGGAAGAGTACCGAGAGAAAAAGACTGTGTCATAGAGTTGCAGGGCGTGTACCTAGTGGACGTCGAGTATCCAGCGTACGTGGAGTTTGAGAGGGAGGTCCGATAGTCCAATTGACAGGCCATTAGTTCTGCCTGAATGTTGAGACGCTGACTGCGCTCATCGGCCACCCGCTTCATAGCTTCATTCAGCTGCTCGGATAGGTCATCCACCTACATAAACGAACGTTAGAACAATAATATAGTAGACACGTAAAACTAATAAGGAGAAAGCGCAAACTGATAGAATATTTTCGGCTAGTTAACCACTCCGACCAAAACGTCTATAAAAATTTGAGTTGGATCGCAATACTGAACAGTGAAAAGAAAACGACTCGATCGCTGGGACAATACTTTTATTCGCCTGACGTTCCGATATACCTCGCGGATTTGTCATCAGAGACATAATCAGGGAGCAGTATCTGATATTGAACAGTTTCATCAAATTCACGATGAAATCCGAAAAAGGTTTGAAGAGTCTGGGCAAGCAGGGGGTTGAATACCTGTTACTGCAGCTCAATGTGTACCCTTTAGAGAAAAAGTGCCACTATAGCGTGAGTTCCACCTTTACTTTTCGTTTCTACACCAGCATACTCTTTAAAACGTTGATACGAGAGTTTACACAGAAGCGGTGCACAGTGAAAGAGAGACGGCATGGTCTCTTACTAGAAGAACAAATCTTGCTGCGAGTGCAATAGACCAATAGTGTTCACGAATAAGAAGGTCCATAGACAGAATAGGCGGTATAGCTGTTCAGAAGAAAGGCTTACCAGCCTGTTCGATAAGTAAAAAAGGTACAAATTCTTCCATTATTGTAATTTGAACGGAAACCCGCACTGTAGTTTGAGGTTCTGTGAAATTTTACAGTTAGTTTACCTCCGGGGCAACCGAAGTGCAAGAATTTACAGGTAGATCCCAAACTACTGTAGCTGACCGGCTAAATGACTTCCGGAAAGTCTGCTCCAAAATAGTATCTGTGGCTGGGAGGGGAAGGCTGAGTGGAATACCCGAAAAACCCAATACCAATTGACAAGGGCAGACCTACAGGGCACCGTAGGTACAGTCGCAACCGATATTCAGGTGGAAATGCACCTGCTGATCAAAACGATGGCAATCCATTACAGACTTATCGCAACCACGGCTCACGCATTGACAGTCCATATGTCAGGGTGACGATGTTAGGTACTTCTGCATACACAAGCGAGATGCGGGAATGTTGATCCCTCTTACTAGAAACAAAGGAGAAGCAGTTTCAACAATACACTCTGACGAACGGTTAGCCTCTTGGCGAATTAATCAGACCACAAAGTCCTCGATCACCAGAAAAAGTAATCCGATCCAGTGCGTATACCCAGCAAATTGAATGGACTTGGTTAGTTAGCAAGATTCAAATGTTGAAGAATAATTGCTGATAGAAGTGAATATGCGACGACTCGAACAAGAGTTTTTTTTTCCTGACGTTTTGGATTCCGCCGGGAATCCTTAATCATGGTTAATGGCAGGATAATCGGAGCCATGCGCAGATAAAGGCAAATCCAAAACGGAATCCAAAACGTCAGGAAAATATAACTCTTGTTCCAGTGGTCACATCTTCTTCTTCTTCTTCTTCTTCTTCTTCTTCTTCTTCTTCTTCTTCTGAATAATCGCTGAGTTTCACAGCCTGCACTCCAGGGGCATCTTGACGAACAATGTTGACGAGGTTTGAAAGTAGAGGATGAATTCGTAGCAATACTGTGCGATATTCAAAAAAGGATTCGTTGCCTAATTGTGGCTATTAAATTCGAATTTAAATTTTGCAATATAGAAGACATACTTTAAAAAAACTGATGCTGTTTTTGACCAGTACCTATTAGGGATAGGAATAACACGATAGCAGCACCGAAAAAAAACAGGATGATTGACAAGGAAAAAGATGCACTCGTTGATTCGATACAGCGTTGCAGTTCGCGACCACGTAAAAGACGACCACGTAAAACATGAATTAGCAACCCAGCATGCTTAAAAGACACTCGCTGCTACTGCCGAAATTCACACTGACTGTAGGCGCACGTGATGTGCAGGATAAAAGGCAAGCGTGCCTGCGGAGGGTCATTCACCAGCACATATGTACATCGGTGTTGAAGGTGCGTCACTTGTACAGTGACTGACGGAGAGCGCGGGGAAGAAGTGATTTGAATACACAACTACGCAGTTCGAAGAGTGAACTATAATTAGGATACTATGTTTGCACATAGAGAAGTTGACGAAACTGAGCTAAGAAGGATGTTAGTTCAAAAGAAGAAGGAACAGGGTACCAAACGGCTTCTCATAATGCAAAAGAAGATATTACGAGGTACACCAATAAAGGCACGTTCGTACTTTAGACTGCTAAGAACAATAGATATACACATAGTAATTGAGATTTCATACAGGCAAAGTTTAAAGAATAACAGCAAAGGAGCCCAGACGGGGTAGAAGCAGCCATTTAGACATTACTGGAAAGTTCGTTTTCGGCCACTCGGGGTGGGGCACAACATTTAAACGAAAAAGGAGACAATGACAATGCTTAAAAACGCTCCTGACAGAGATATCAGACATGAGGTGCCAACTCATACACGAATCCGTTGCTTACATGTCTCACACAAGAGTGTACAGTGAAGCCTAAGGTGACGAGCAACATAATTTACCAGCATTTCAGGTTAAGAGCAAGCCTCTAGCGGAAAATTTGTTTCGCTTGACAGGCTTTCGCTCAATTAACGATCTGTCAGTGCGTGTGTGTGCCTGTGTCTGCCGCTGAGTCTTGCGCTCAAGGCGTGAATCCTCGGTCGGCTGCAGCTAACCAGTGAACTGATGCAGTTTGATTGACTACGGTTCTCAAGACGAGCATTTCACACGACGAGTTCGGTGCCGGAAGGGATTAAGCTCGTTAATCAAGGTTGCACTGTATTATGTTATCAGAGGGAGAGCAAAGTGGGTAGCCCTAACTGGCGTGGATCGTAGAAGGTAGTGGTTTCTCTGGCGACAGGCACGAATACTTATCACTAACAGTGAAGCTTTGAGGAAGGGCACGCTGGGCTTTATGATATTCCCGAGGCTTGCTGCCACGATGATGACCAAAACTGTTGGACTAGCTTTTACACTACTGCACTTCCAGGAACTGGAGAGGATTCAACCGAGACATAGCTCTACTAAGCCGATAAAGTGCACTCCACCAACGCCATAACGAGCCAGGTCACATTTCAGGGATCACGTGGAAATAAGTTCAGGAATTCGACAGAATAGGGTTCTTCCTAAATTCAAGAGAGAGCATCTAGACTACATCATCCGATCAAGGATTATTGGAAGAAATGTTAAATTATTTTGCGGAAACTGAATAACTGCGAAGACAACGCAGGACTTTATACAAAGGAGGTTTAGAGTTCGGGACACGGAGCACCTAGATGTGCCGACCTACATTTCTGTAGATATAAGTAAGGGATCCTGAACAGAAAAGATACAATATAGCATAGTTAATAGGAACCGTTGATTTTGAGCGGCTTACCCCTCCTACCCACTGACAAAAGACTACAAACTTCTAAAAAGGAGCCCAGCTACCTTTCGGATGCATTGAAGAGAACGTATGGAGGTTTCAAAGAGATAATTGCTCGTTGTACTTGGTATCCGAAAAGGATGCATGCCATAAAATATTCCAAAAGTAGGATTTAATACGATTTTTCTTTATCCGGCACGACTGAGCAAAATAATTTAAAACAACGGATAGTAGTTGCCGAGCAGTTCTTGTGTTTAAAGCAAACGCGCATAGAATTACATTACAAGAAACCTTTGTGCAAAGTTGAATAAAGGCAAATGAGGTCGTAACGTTTTGCATCATACAACATGACTAATTGTTATTAGATTACAATTACAGTACTAGTCGTCACACACGCTTTACTATACGAAATGGACAAACATATGCCGCCTATGGAAAGTATTTGTTAGGATGGCCGAGCATGTGAGCCACCACACTTGTCATCCAGACAGACAGACAGACATCCTGAGGTCACGCCGGACAAAAGC